CCTCGCCCGCCTCGCCCGCAGGCAGCTGCCGCCTGAGGAGACTCAGGTCCCTCGACCTTTCTAGTGCCTTCTGGTGCTAGAATGATGTCTTTTAATGCACCTTTTGATATTTTAAAGCGACGATGTTTGAAGAGAGCAAACTTTTAGAAAACTTAAGAATTATTTGAGTTGAAAGATCAGGCCTTTGACAGCTTGCCCCAAAACGGAGACAAAGCGGTGCTGAAATCAGTCCGTTTGAGCACCATTAGAGCCCTTAACCGAAGATGAGAAGCTTAGGATGGTACGGTAGTGCTGCTCGGAGCAATAGCTGTGTCCTGCATGTAGTTTCTTTAACTTGATTATGAGTTATATGCTGAAAAACAGGATCTTTTTTCTGAGTTTATCTTGAGTCTTATAAATTTCTTTGAAAAGCATTTAGAAATTATTGGAATTTAGATTTACTCCGTTTCTTGCCGTTAAGTCTAAGGAGGAATGCCAACATTTTGCCCATTAGGTATGGGAGCTAATATTTTGCTTTACCTCTTTTTTAACCTGTTTTGAAAAAATGAACAGATTTTGTAGGCTTCTATTAAATAGAGGGCTGTAAGACTGATTGCAGGCCAGCCAGAGATTCCTTGACCCTTCAGGGAGGCTCGGGCTCAGGGATCTGAAGAGTGACACTGCACAAACTAAAGGGGTCAGGTTTGCAATAAAAATCACTTCAGCTCTCAACACTTATTGAGCACTTGTGAAGTGCAAGCACCGTGCTAGAGAGCACCACTTGATGTTGGTTCTGGATCCAGTTTTTTAAAATTGTGGTACACGACATAAATTCAGACATAACAATTTTGTGTCCAGTACGGTATTGTTAACCATAAGAACAGTGTTGAGTAGTAGATCTCTAGAACATTGTCACCTTACATGACTGAACCCACCCGTTGAACAGCTCCTCATTTCCCCCTGTCTCTGGCAACCACCGTTTCTATAAGTTCGATTATATTACATGCCTCGTAGAAGTAAAATCATGCACTTATTTTTGTAATGAGCTGATTTCACTTAGCATAATGTCCTCAAGGTTCATTGTCACAAATGGCAGAATTTCCTTTTTTAAGGCTGAAGACTTCCATTATATGTATATGCCACATTTTCATCATTCGGTCATCTGTTGACATTTAGATTTTTTTCGACCTCTTAGCTTGTGAATAATGCTGAAATGAACCTGAGGGGCAAATGTCATTTTAGATCCTGATTTACATTCATTTGCATAAATGCTCAGAAGTGGGATTGCTGAATCATATGGTATTTCTATTTTAAGTTTTTCGAGGAACCTCCATACTGTTTTCCACAGTAGCTGTATCAGTTTGCATCCCCATCCGCAGTGCACAACGGTTCCCTTTTTTCCACATCCTCACCAACACTTAGGTCGTCTTTTTGATTATGGCTGTTGGAACAGGTGTGAGGTATCTCAGTGTGGTTTTGATTTGCATTTCCCTGATGATTTCAGCATCTTTTCATATATACCTGTTGGATATTTGTGTGTCTTCTTTGGAGAAATGTCTATTCAAGACCTGTAACCATTTTTTAATTGCAATTTTTTTTGTTGAGTTGTAGTGTGCAAAGCCTCCAGTTTCTCTGCTATCTTGCCAACACTTTGCATCCAGATGGCTTTTGCTTGAGCTGATAATGAATCCTTAGTATCTGTCTCTGGGAAAGGAGCCTCCCACTACCCACCAAAATTTGGAATAGAGACCTCTTGCTTCCCTTTTTCCAAACCGAAAGTGATTACTGGACCCTAGGAGCCTTTGTTTGGATGATTTGGGGAAGAACTAGAGGAGTTTCTTAGAGGAAAATGTGTAAATCCCCTTTGTTAATTTCAATTTGCTTTTTTTAAAAAAAAAATTCTTTATTTTTAAAAACAGGTCATGGTGGATCAAAAATAAGAGACATCCAAAGTACAACAAACACCAAAATACAAGTAAGTGATCTGTGTTCCTAAATTCTTAAAGAGCAAAGTTCATTCCTAACTCTAGTTTTTGATGTACTGTGGTAACTTAGATAAGTAGCCCAAGCTCTTCATACTGCCATTCTTTCCAAGAACTCACCTGAGCTGTGCTCCATTCTAGTCTATGTTTTTTGACTCATGAAGGTAAAAATCTTTAGAGAGAATCTCCACTGAGGAATGAGATCTTGGGAATATTCGTCATGCCCTTCCTGACCTTTATCCCTCAAACCTTGAGCTGCTCCTGTGCTCCCAATCTCAGTAAACAGCAGCATCATTCCCCAGGTTCCCGAGCCAGAAATCTCAGGTTACCCACTCTTCTTATCCCACAACCAGTCCATCACAGAGTCCTTTCTATGTCCTGTATTTCTCTAAGGGAATCAGATCATTTGGGGCATTCTCCCCTAACTGATCATCCTCCTTCTAGGCTTATCCTCCTACAACCATTCTCCACTGTGGCCAGAGCATCTTTCCAAAACACAAATCCTGTGTTCATGACCTTTTCCTGCACAAAAGCCTTCCATAATAGATCCGACACTGATTGACAGCAATACCATATTTATCTTATGTTTTATACTACTTGAAGTTGAGTGACTGTTGGAGGGAGAAATGGTGAAGGGACTCCAGTCTCCTCTATTTTTCCCCTTGTATCTAGATAATAAAAGGGTATCCCGAAGCAGAAGTCAAAATTTTTGGCAGCAAGATGATGCAGACAAAAGCAAAAGCCGTGATAGATAATCTTGTTAAAAAACAAGAAAATTATAATTCAGAACCCAGAGTTGGTAAGTAATTTTTGCTCACTAAAGCCCTGTAAAATTTTTAAAATTTCATTCAGTGTTATAAGTCGTATTATAGCTGATGCTTTTTCTGATTACAAAGATTTAGATTGCCATCATTAGATCTAATCTAGAAGTTTTTTGCGATGGAATCCCAGAATACTTTTTTCCTTACACTACAACACTTAATCTCTGTGATTAGGCCTAGCAGTTTTACTTTTAGCCACAGGTGAGTGAAAAAAACAAAACAGCCTTTTAACACAGTTCACTGTTAATGATAGAGCAAGGATTAGTCCTGGCCTCCTGTCGCCATGGTCTCTTCCCTAAACACGACTTACTTTGAAAACTGCCTAATTATTTGGTATTTTAAAAATCTCAGATCTGCTTAGACTCGAGAAAAGCCATTATTGAACCATTTCCAGAAGCAACAAGCAAGTAAAAAGAAGGGTCTTGGCTTCAGAGGCAGCATTGCTTCTTACTGTTTCTTGGAAAGGAATCTCCAAGAAGCCTCTAAGACTGTTTCTTTATTTGTTAACCTGGGGTAATGTCTGCCTCACAGGAGTATTGTAAAGATTAAGTGATACATGTGATTTATTAGCAGACACTAGGCTCTCGTACTGTTTAACTTCTCTTTTCCAATAAATTAAATTTTTTTTCCAATTCGTAAATCTGAAGTAGATAACTGACAAAAGCATGACCAGAATTGTCATGGTACCATAGTACTAAAGCCCTAAATTTTATATTTAGCATTACTGTCTGGTTATTAAAACAAAATAGTAAAATGGTTCTGGGGATTTTGTACTGGTAGGATTTGTTTTGAAACTAATTTGGTGAGAATATTTTTAACAGATATCGTTGCACTCCACCCTTCTGCTGGAAGGGGTGTAAGGGCAAATGTCAGTGTTGTCACGGAAGATCAGCCATTGATTGACTGGGATCAAATTCGAGAAGAAGGTTTGAAATGGGAAAAAAAAAAGTGGGCAGGTTAGTGCTGCATCCTGACATTTATACTTGGTCTTGGTGTTTCTCTTAAGGTTTTTATCCTCTATAAAGTGTGTTACTTTTTGTAATGAAATCTACATGAAAAATGATAGTAAAATTTGAAGTGCTGCGGTGAGCCCCTGGGGCATGATAGTTTCTGTGTTGTCTGCGTTGTGGTTTATGCTATAAATATTAAACTTGTCTGCACCTTGTCTTATTCGAGGTAACTCACTGCAAAAGTTTAATAAAATAAAAAGAAAATCAGTCCCAGGGGGAAATGAGAGGCATAAACAGGCCAACCCTCAGGTGTTAACATTGTTGCTGTGATTGAGCAGAACTTGGTCTTGGAGTGTCTTAGCTGACAAGGGCAAAGTAAGAGGGACAACATTTAATGAGGGCATACGGTTCTTGAGAAGAGATGGGTTTTTGAAATTTAATTTTAGATGAAATTCTCACTTGGAATTATATATGGAGTGTAGCGTTCCACATTATATTCACCAAATTTCAGAGTAAATTCAGGCACTAATTTTGGCTATCAGAATCAGGTAGTAATACAACATCATTTATTTAAAAATAAAAAGCTGTATTAACAATGATTAATTCCACTGTGGTGGTCAGCGCATCTGCATGTGAAGTTCCAGTTTCCAATTCATAAATCTGAAGTAGATGACTGACAAAAGCATGACCAGAATGGTCAACAATCTGTGTGTTGATATTTCGGATGGGAGGCCAGATAAAGGATTTAAGTTTGGAGGAGGTATGATAGGCATTTAAGAAAGAAAACAAAATAGCTTTAGGGGACAAAGTAAGGACAAATATTTTATTCCTAAAAAGCAATGGGATGGACCTTCAAAGAAAGGATAAAATCAATTTATTATGTTTGAGAGATTTATCAGCTGTGATGATTGTATGTCTTCTAAAGCTTGGCTTATTTTATTTTATACTTAATTATTAAAGATCTCTTTCTTGGGCGAAAAATGTAATTGAAAGACAAACCAGAAAGGGAAATTTCTTTTTTTTCTGCTTTATCTCCCCAACACCCCCCGTACACAGTTGTATATCTTAGTTGCAGGTCCTTCTAGTTGTGGGATGTGGGACGCCGCCTCAACGTGGCCTGACGAGCGGTGCCATGTCCGCGCCCAGGATCCGAACCCTGGGCCGCCGCAGCCGAGCGCGCGAACTTAACCACTCGGCCACGGAGCCGGCCCCCAGAAAGGGAAATTTCTTAGACACTGGCATAAGCCTGGCTGGCAAAATGTAGAATGACTGTCTAAAGCTGTGTGTATGCAAAGTGAACTTAATACATATTTTAGTTTGATTTCTGTTACTTTGAATAAGTGTCAGTGAAATGTAAATTCTCATTTGTCAAAGTTTGAATTTTCGTCTTTGTCCCAGATTTGCCTCTAATTAAGAAAAACTTTTACATGGAGTCAGAAACAACAAGTTCAATGTCACAAATGCAAGTAGACAATTGGAGGTGGGTCATTTTATTACTTTAAGTATTTGTATAGTTAGGTTATTAGATTAACTCATTAGGCTAAAATTTGAAATGATTGCATTTGAAGACCATATTCAAATGAAAACTTGGTCACATCCTACATGATATATACTTTAGAGCATTGCCATCCAATAAAACTTTCTGCAGAGATGGAAAATGGGCCATATTTGTGTCTAATGGAATAGTCACAATAGTCAATAGCTATTGAACACTTAAAATATGGCTAGTATAATTGAGAAACTGAATTTTTAACTTAAAATTTTAAATTTAAAAAGACACATGGTTAGTGCCTCCTGTATTGGACAGCGGTTTTAGAGAATTATTTTTAAAACTTGAAAATCATAAGAAATTGATCTGATATCTGAATGTTAGAATAAATTCTTACTCTTCAGTCCTTATCTGGCATGAAGGGTCCTAATGGCAGCGTTTTTTTTCGATGAAAGCCTGTTATAAAACTAAGGTAGTATAGTATAGCAGAAAGAACAGTTACTCTAGGGTTTCAGTGGGGCTCAGACTTTGGACAAGTAACTAATGATGATCACCTGTCAAATGAGAAGAATTCCCACTTCACAGGCTTGTTGAAGATAAATTGAGGAAATATATGTGGCACCTTGTAGGCCCTCCCTCAGGTGTTTGCCAGATCTGCTTTTTGAATAATGACGCGTATAATTTTCAGGCTTTGTTCTTAACCTTTCCATGAAACTTTCATTGACCCATTTCATACATACAATGTGATTTTTTTTTTTCCTTCTCTCTGCAACTATCTGAAAAGAAAAAGATAGGCTCACTTCTATTTCTTAGTACATTTTACTCTGTCTTTACTAACAGTCTTGTTTTAATCAGTTGCAGTTGAATTTGTAGGTATGACGTGAACTAATGCTGGAAAACGTTTCTTGCTTGGGGGGTATAGCAACGAAAGCCACTAATGCTTGTTCCATTTTTCCTTAAAGGAAGGAAAATTATAATATAATGTGTGATGACCTGAAAGGTGGTGAGAAACGCCCTATCCCCAACCCCACATGTCAATTTGAGGATGCCTTTCAGTGTTATCCTGAAGTTATGGAAAACATTCAAAAGGCAGGTTTTCAAAAGCCAACACCAATTCAGGTATGCTTTCTTTAATTCTCATATTTCACTGGTTTTCCCCCCCAAACAGTATCAGATTGTTAGAAGTTAAATCACCAGGAAGCAACTGGCTCCCGTGAGCGTGCCCCGCAGCTCCTTCCCACCAGTGTCCAGCACTCAAGACATGTTCGCTGAAAGACATTTCAGACTAGGAGAGGAGGGACACTTGGCAAAAGGAAATGTAGTGATTATTTTAACGTTTATTGTTCTGTTTCAGTCACAGGCCTGGCCAATAGTTCTACAAGGAATAGATCTTATCGGAGTAGCCCAAACTGGAACAGGGAAGACACTGTCCTACTTAATGCCTGGGTTTATCCATCTGGACTCTCAACCAATGTAAGAATTTCTACAGCTGGATTCTCTTCATAAAAGTTTAATAGATACAGACACCAAGAATACAGTTAAAGTTTCTTTTATCTATTGCATTGGTCAAAAGGTAACGCCTCATCTCAGGGAAATACACTTGTACTGGGCTGCTGAAAGTAGAAATTGACGAAACATTTTTAGGAAGCAGTAGGTAGTATCTACCGAAAGTCTTAATAGTGAAACATTGGAAACAAATTGTTTGAATTATCATGTCCAGTACAAAATGCTATTCTCTGAGAGAATGTTTGACACAGGAAAGCATTGGCCGTGTTAAATGAAAAGGCTGGTAGGTAGGCCATTGGATTTTTTTTGTTTGGCTGTTTTTCTCTATTTCTCCACTCTTTATGGTGGATGTATGTGATTTGACAGTCATTACTAAATATCTTGAAAGCACTGAATCAATGTCCCTTTTTATCTGAGACAGATGCTTTAATATTAATCTGTTTTCTCTCTAAAGAGCTAGAGAAAAAAGGAATGGACCTGGCATGTTAGTCCTCACACCCACTCGAGAATTAGCTCTTCAAGTGGAAGCTGAATGTTCTAAGTATTCTTATAAAGGTCTTAAAAGGTCAGTCATTTCTTTGGCTGTTCTTGCATCAGTATTTTAAACATTTGTAGCTTTAAACATTCTCCCCATTATTTTTCACACATTTTGAGAATCTGAAACGGCTCAGCATTGGTCAGCTATTACTCCTGATCCAAATCAGTGGTAGCCAGGGTGCTGGAGTCAAGTGATGATAGAAACATGGCTCTCTGGGACACACTGCTGTCACTGGATGGGTGTAGGTAGTTCTCAGAAAGGGGCAAATCACTATCAAAGGGATCTGCTACTCTTTTTGATTTATATACCTTTTATTTTGTTATTTTATATCCAATATGCTTAGGTTGGTTGGGATTTTGAGTTGTGATGGGGTATTCCTTGCCTGAACATGAACTTCTGTCTTTTCTTTTTAAGTGTTTGTATATATGGTGGTGGAGATAGAAATGGACAAATACAAGACCTGACAAAAGGTGTAGATATCATTATTGCAACTCCAGGAAGATTGAACGATCTGCAAATGAATAACTTTGTGAACCTGAAAAGTGTAACCTACTTGGTAATCACAGAGCTGGGGTGTGGGATACCAGCAGAAAGAGCTGAACTTGAAAAAGCTGTCTTAGATGGCTGTCCATTTTATAATGGTTTTAAATCCTAGGAATATTTCCCAGTCCCTCTAGTATGTTAAAATAAGGATTTTTAGGATAATTCTAAATGTTTTTTATACTTTTTGGAAAATTTAGATAATTACAAAAGAAAATAGAAAGTCCACATGGATGTTTTAGACATTTAAATTTTTTTCATTAAATAGATTTAGGGGGGCAGGCCCTGTGGCCAAGTGGTTAAGTTCGCACGCTCCGCTGCAGGCGGCCCAGTGTTTCAGGTTCGAATCCTGGGCACGGACATGGCACCACTCATCGAGCCACGCTGAGGTGGCATCCCACATGCCACAACTGGAGGGACCCACAACTAAGAATATACAACTATGTACCGGGGGGCTTTGGGGAGAAAAAGGAAAAAAAAATCTTTAAATAGATTTAGAAACTATTAGTTAGCCAACTTAAAAAGATCAAGTCAATCTGTTACAACTACAGATAGCTTATTTTCTCTTAGATAAATTAAAATAATTGCTTACATAAAAGGGAAAATGAGAAAAAATTACCTTTTTGGTATTCATAAAAGAGAGCATACATATTAGCTGCCTTCCATATCTAATCCAGCCACAACCATTTTTTTTCTGTTTTATTTTTTATTGAGGTTATGATGGTTTACAACCTTGTGAAATTTCACTTGTACATTATTTGTCAGTCATGTTATAGGTGCACCACTTCACCCTTTGTGCCCACCCCCACTCCCCATTTCTCCTGGTAGCCACCAATCTGTTCTTTTTTTGCCGTGTGTTTGTTTATCTTCCACATATGCGTGGAGTCACAGAGAGATTGTCTTTCTCTATCTGGCTCACCTTGCTGAACATAATACCCTCAAGGTCCATTCATGTTGTTGTGAATGGGACGATTTTATCCTGTTTTATGGCTGAGTAGTATTCCATTGTGTGTGTATATATATATCACATCTTCTTTATCCAATCATCAGTCGATGGGCATCTAGGTTGCCTCCACATCTTGGCTACTGTGAATAATGCTGCAATGAACATAGGGGTGCATGAGTCTCTCTGAATTGCTGATTTCAAATTCTTTGGATAGATCCCCAATAGTGGGATGACTGGATCATATGGTATTTCTATTTTTAATTTTTTTTATTGAGTTCATAATAGTTTACATCTATGTGAGTTTTAGTTGTACATTATTTCTTATCTGTCACCGCATAAGTGCTCCCCTTCACCCCCAGTACCCACCCCTCAACCCCCTTCCCCTGGTAACCACTGAACTGTTTTCTTTGTCCGTATGTTTGTTTATATTCCACATATGAGTGTAATCATCTGGTGTTTGTCTTTCTCAGTCTGGCTTATTTGGCTTAGCATAATTCCCTCCAGGTCCTTCCATGTTATTGCAAATGGGATGAACTTGTCTTTTTTTTATGGCTGAGTAGTATTCCATTATATATATACCACATCTTCGGTTGATGGGCACTTGGGTTGCTTCCATGTCTTGGCTATTGTGAATAGTGGTGCAAGGAACATCGGGGTGCGTATGTTACTTTGACTTACTGATTTCAAGTTGTTTGGGTAGCTACCCAGTAGTGGGATAGCTGGGTCGTATGGTAGTTCTATTTTTAGTTTTTTGAGGAATCTCTGTACTGTTTTCCATAGTCAGCCACAACCATTTTTAACGCAGGTATTAGATGAAGCCGACAAGATGCTGGACATGGGATTTGAACCCCAGATAATGAAGATTTTGTTGGATGTGCGCCCAGACAGGCAGACTGTTATGACAAGGTAAGTAGATGCATGACTGCTCATCTGCAAAACCATTGGACTGGAATCCGTTCTTTTTGGTTGATTTCCCCACAGGATTTTAGAGCTTTACTTGAGAACATTTTGAGATCCTTAGGTGAAAGATCATGTCATCACTTAGTTCAGCAACTCAGTGTAACAGTGTCACGTGGCTGTTAGGTTACCTAGGTTACAGTAGAGATTTCTATCAAACATGCACAGGGGATTCCTGCTGGGGAGGCTGCTGCATAGTAGGGTCCTAAGTGATCACCTGGCCTTAGAGGTAAACATTTGGTTACTGAAGACTTTTTTGCCCAAGATAAAAGTGAGGAAACAGTGACTGTTGTTTAAAGGCAGAGTGACCTATAGACCTGGGCTTATATCTTCTGTGTCATAAGCATTAAAAAGAGTAGTGTATAACTGAGGAAATATACTAAATTTCCTCACTTCATTTTCCTACTACTTTTCCCATCATTGTATAATTACTGTGAAAGTACAAAAGGCGGTTATTTTCATAATACATATGGTTGAAGAAACATTTCACTTTACAGAGCCTTTCATCAGTACACTTAAAATGTTTTTATTTGACATAAGCACTTGGTTTTGCCTGCTCACAATGTATGAAAAATTCTAGAGGTTTTTTGTCTTTTATAAAGGCCAAGAGAAAGCTAGTCTAACACTTAAATTCATTTTACCTTTCCATAGATTAGAATTTAAAATATAGGTCTCTCTCACCTTTGATTTAGAAACCTATTTATTAAACTTATTTAAAGGTTTCATCTAGTAGCTTCACTATAGTTGAACAATTCTTTGTGAAACATTAGTTTTCTGTAAAATCTGCCTTATTGAAAAATACTAAATTTGTCTTTCATAGGTAATTTGGTTCATAGCATTCTTCTTTTTTTTTTTTTAAAGATTTTATTTTTTTCCTTTTTCTCCCCAAAGCCCCCCAGTACATAGTTGCATGTTCTTGGTTGTGGGTCCTTCTAGTTGTGGCATGTGGGACGCTGCCTCAGCGTGGTTTGATGAGCAGTGCCATGTCCGCACCCAGGATTCGAACCAACGAAACACTGGGCCGCCTGCAGCAGAGCACACAAACTTAACCACTCGGCCACGGGGCCAGCCCCTGGTTCATAGCATTCTTAAGGAAACTTAGTAATATTTGATTTATAATAAATCTTATTATATTGTATTTTATTTGGTGAGGAAGATTGGCCCTGTAACATCTGTTGCCAGTCTTGCTCTTTTTGCTGAGGAAGATTGTTCCTGAGCTAACATCTGTGGCAGTCTTCCTCTGTTTTGCATATCGGACACCACCACAGCATGGCTTGATGAGCGGTGTGTAGGTCTGTGACCAGGATCTGAACCTGCAAAACCCCAGGCCACCAAAGTGGAGTATGCAAACTGAACCATCACGCCACCAGGCTGGCCCCTGATTTATAGTTTTAATATTTGTGTATCATGTTTTATTTCCAGTGCAACGTGGCCATATTCTGTCCGTCGACTCGCACAATCTTATTTGAAAGAGCCAATGATTGTATATGTTGGTACTCTGGACCTAGTTGTAAGCTTGTTTTTTATTACTATTGTTAAAAATATTATTATGGAAGTTTTAATTACTTTGTGTTTTGGCATGTCTACTCTGTCTGCTCCCTAATTTTAGAGCAAATCCTAGATGGCTATGATTTTATCCATAAATTCTTTATGTCTAAAACACTAATCTTTAACTACGGTACTATTATCACTCATCTAAAATTTTAATAATCTGTTAATACCATCAAATATCCAGTCAGTGTTCCTAATTTCCTGACATCCCATTTTTATTAACTCTGTTAGAATCAGGTTCTAAACAAGGTCTACAGATGTGCATAGATGTAAGTCTGATGTGCTCTTTTTGTGAAGGTAAGATTGATCGATGGGTTCAGATGTTGTTAGTAATGAAACAATTCATAATCAAAGATCTGCATTCTATCTCTCCTCCATTATAAAGTTCTCTGGCTTTTCACTTAGTAATTGAAATTGGCCTTTCAAATTAATCATCAATGAAAATTGACTTTTTACTTAATCACTAGCAATTAATAATAGTGGGTGATTGCTTAGGCTCATTTCATTAAATTTCACAAAAGGCAGGATAAATGCTTGATTCTTTCCTGTCATTAAATGCTATTAAAGCCTGTTTTATCTCTGGGTCAAAAAATAGTACCAATGCTACCTTTTATTTTGCATTAAATTGTCAAAATACTCGTTGAATGCAAACTCCTGTGTCCTAAGCTGATCATCTTCCTTCATTGGAAGGGCTATACCCAAACTTCATGATGATAGTTTTTGTAAGCTTGGCCTCACCCCATGTGTGTTTCTCTTCCTCCAATGGTAACCACTTGCTTTCAGCACACTCCCAAGCATGCAGGGGTTCCCAACTTAGCTTGGGTGAGTAAGTGATAGAAAAGTGAAAGGCTGAGCTACTGATCTTTAAGTAGAAACAGGTAATTTTGCAAGGACTTCCCTTCTTTCCTGTGAGTAGTTTATTAAAACAGTAACCAATGATAGAAATAGATATATTTCGAGCCAGTGTGTGAGGTTTGCCCATCGATGCTGATGTACTGTGGTCTCTGAACCCTTCAGGCTGTGAGTACCGTGAAGCAGAATATAATTGTCACCACAGAAGAAGAGAAACGATCTCACATCCAGACTTTCCTAGAGAGCATGTCTCCCAAAGACAAAGTCATAGTGTTTGTCAGCAGAAAAGCTGTGTAAGTATTTTTCTCTTTTACATTTTTAAGCATCAGTCAAACTGGTTTGTTTAGCATTATTTCTGTTTGTATACTAATTTCAAATGGGGGTGTGTATGTCTTACAGTACCTTATTTCGGAGTTTCGCTAATAGAGGTAAAACTAGTGAACTAATGGTGTGTTAGAATAAGCACTTAAGATTACTGACTTTATCTTTTGCCTAAGTGCTGATCACTTATCAAGTGACCTCATTCTCCAACATATATCAGTGGAGTCTCTGCACGGCAACAGAGAGCAAAGCGATCGAGAGAGAGCATTAGAAAACTTTAAAACAGGTACTTTTATGCAATTAGTATTTGTTGTTGTTTAAAAGCATACAATGCCTGGGCTTGGCTGAGTGACAGCACCTTTTCAGGGAACCCATTTCTAAGATCTGTCCTCCACTTGCAGATTCCAAAACTATACCTGTTAGAGCTCTAAATATTATTAATCAGACTCTCAGAACTATCCAAACTCAAAAAGCTAATTTTTAAACCTGGATATCAAGGTAATTTGCAGTGGGGGAGATTTCTATTAAGTGACCTGAAAGGCATACATCTTTGTGACATGGTTCAGATGATTCAGGGGCCATTTGCTGAACCATGATTTCTATTGTGTTGTAACTTGCCAGCAGTTAAAAAGAAAGACTAGGGGCCGGGCCGTGGCCAAGTGGTTAAGTTCGCGGGATCCGCTTCGGGGGCCCAGGGTTTCACCGGTTCGGATCCTGGGCACAGATGTGGCACTGCTCATCAGGCCATGTTGAGGTGGCATCCCACGTGACACAACTAGAAGGACCCACAATTCGAATATACAACTATGTACTGGGGGGCTTTGGGGAGAATAATTAAAAAAAAAACTTGGGAACAGATGTTAGCTCAGGTGCCAATCTTTAAAAAAAGTAAAAAAGAAAGATTATAAATATCCCTTTCCCATTTTCATTATAGTTTGTGTGTTTTGTTTGTTTTCCTTCTTCTCCTCAAAGCCCCCCACTACAAAGTTGTATATCTTAGTTGTAGGTCCTTCTGGTTGTGGCATGTGGGATGCCACCTCAGCATGGCCTGATGAGCGGTGCTAGGTCCACACCCAAGATCCAAACCGGCGAAACCCTGGGCCGCTGCAGCAGAGCATATGAACACAACCACTCAGCCACAGGGCCGGCCCCATCATAAGTGTTTTAATATTAGAAGCAGTAATAGTTCACCTGATTAGATATTAGGGGAAAATATACTTTTCAGGTATGCCTTGGGTTGGTTTATGCCAGAGTGTGTCTATATTCTTTTTGGCTTTACTCTTTAGGTAAAGTGAGAATACTGATTGCTACTGACTTAGCATCTCGAGGGCTTGACGTGCATGATGTCACACATGTCTATAATTATGATTTTCCCCGGAACATTGAAGAATATGTGCACAGGGTAGGGCGCACTGGAAGGGCAGGGTAAGTCTGCATAGTCCACTCGTGGAAGAAGCCAACCCTGGCTCCTCATTATTCCCCTCAGAGACTGCTCTCACTTAGAAAACTGTTTTGTTCTCTTGCCTGTCAATTGCTCTGCCCCAGAATCTACTTTGCTTTTACTTTATCCCTGTCCAATTGGTCTGTTCTAGGGTCAAGCAGACCCCTCTATGATTAGCTGCATGTAACTGGTTCCGATTTCACTCTTCGCTTTATATCTCTAGTGTTACAACAGTGAGCTAAACCCTATGGTAACTCTCTTGTCCAACCGGGCATCTGTAAGAGGACCTCTTTTCCCGCGGAGAGTACTACCATCATAAGCCCCCTGTGACAACCACCGCTGATTATTTAGATTGCAAATGGCTATTCCAATGATGCTAAACTGTAATATATAACACATATTAGGGCTTGTGAAAGAGTTGAGGGTTTGCTACTGCTGTTTTTATTCTGTTTTGCTAACTGAAGCATGAATATAAATTATAACTCAAATTACATGAGTTTTTCTCCCCCTTAAAGGAGAACTGGAGTGTCAATTACCCTTCTCACTAGAAATGATTGGAGAGTTGCCAATGAATTAATTAATATTCTGGAAAGAGCAAATCAGGTGAGAATATACAACTTATTAGAACTCTACCTCATATCACTTTTCTAATTTTAAAATAATTTCATTTATTCCAAGTACTGGGGCTTACTGTTTATCAAGAAAGACAGATAAAATAAGTAAGTAAACATGTGAGGGCTGTAGCATGGCACGGTAAGGAGCTACCATATCGTATAATTAGGGAACCTAATCTAATAGGGATGAGCATCAGTGAAAACCTTGCTCAGGAAGAAGCCAGTGGGTTTGGAGGTTGGGAGAGATGTAGAATGGGCGAAGTGTTCCAGCAAGAGAAGATACGCAGACCTGGAGGTGACAAAGAACGTGCAGTACGTGGCACCAGATAAGGCATGTTAAGGTCACTGGAAAGCAACTGAAGGGGCTATGCAAGGAGGGGAGTAGCATAATGATGGGGGTTTTTAAGATCAGTCTGGTTTTATAGCCTGAAGATAGCCTCAGAGTTTAATGTGCAGGAAGACACATTTCATTCTGTTTGAAAGATGTCATGTAATCAATTGTGGAGATTCTCTGACTGAAATGATTCAGAGGCATTTTTAGCATACTGTAGAAAAACTGTTACACTAAAAGAAAAATCTCATTCCTAATAATACATTTAATGGTTTTAGAGTATCCCAGAGGACCTTGTGTCAATGGCTGAAAGATACAAAGCAAATAAACTGAAAAAAGAAATGGAAAAAAAGTTGGGAAGACCCCAAGGAAAACCCAAGAAGTTTTATTAATGTCTGTGTTGAAGTGGTGCAAGCCGACTTACAGAAGGTAAAATTTGAATAGCACCTGGACTTTCAAATGCCTCTTTCCCTTAATGAGGTTTTGTTAGTGTGTTGCAATCAGCATTATCTCTAAGTCATTGACATAGGAAATTATTAGGTATTAGTCTTGATCTGTTACCTAAATTTCCAGTTAATGTATCTTATTTAGAGTTAGAAGTATTAATTCAGAGTTGCGAAAATAAACTTGAAGTTGTACAGAAGGATCATGAAGAGGGTAATAGAGTTGGTGGAGGTATAAAGTGGTATAACCTCTTCTGAGCAATTTGGTACTGTGTCAGTTATAAATACATATACCTTCTGATCCAGCAGTTCCTCTTCTAGGAATATCTATAAGTGTTTGCATATACAAGTAAAGATTTATTTATTAGAGCAGTATTTGTAGTATAAAAGACAAAACTAAGTTCAGTAGGGGACCATATGGATAAACTATGGAGAAAATATTTTTGCAAATCATATATCTGATAAGGGATTAATACCTACAATATAGAGAACTCCTAAAACCAAACAGAAACAACCAACCAGATTAAAAAATGGGCCAAGGACTTGAATAGACATTTCTCCAAGTGGCCAATGAACCTATGAATACAAATAGATATGAAAAGATGCTCAACCTCACTAATCACTAGGGAAATGCAAATCAAAACCACAGTGAGATTACCTCACACTCATTGGGATGGCTACTATAGAATGGCTATTATCAAATAAACAGAAAATAAATGTTGGCAAGGCTGTGGAGAAATTGGAACCCTTGTACACGGTTGGTAGGAATGTAAAATGGTGGATCCAGTATGCAAAATATGGCAGTTCCTCCAAAAATTAAAACTATAATCCAGCAATTCCACTTCTGGGCATATATCCAAAAGAATTGAAGCAGGGTCCCTAAGAGAGATTGGTACACTCATGTTCATAGCAGCTTTATTCATAATAGCCAAAAGGTGTTGCATGGTGAGTGGATATGCAAAGCAGTATGTAAAAGGAAGTTCTGACACGTGCTACATGGATGAACCTTGAGGACATGATGCTCAGTGAAATCAGCCAGTCACAAAAGGACATACTGTATGATTCCACTTACATGAGGAACTTAGAGTAGTCAATTCATAGAGACAAAGTAGAATGGTGGTTGCCAGGAGCTGGTGGGGGGGGGGGGTGAATGAGATATTTAATGGGCATGGAGTTTCAGTTTTGCACAATGAAACAGTTCTGGAGATTGGTTGTAGAATAATGAATATACTTAATACTACTGAATTTACTTAATACTACTTAAAAATGGTTAGGATGGTAAATTTTGTTATGTGTAGTTTATCACAATTAAAAATTTTTTAAAAGGCTTGGGAACAGCAGGGGCTGGCATGGTGGTGTGTGGTTAGGTTCGCGCACTCTGCTTCAGTGTTCTGGGGTTTACAGGTTCAGATCCGAGGCACAGACCTATGCACCTCTCATCAAGCCATGCTGTGGCAGAGTCCCACATATAAAATAGAGGAAGATTGGCACAGATCTTAGATCAGGGACAATCTTCCTCACCAAAAAGAAAAAAAAAGATTTGAGAACAGCAACTTACATTTTTTTCTACTTATTTTTCAGAATTCAAGATTTTTTAGAGATGTACTATTTAAGATATATGGAAGTATTGGAAACAAGCTGTCAGTATGAAGAAACTTGACTAATTCTTAAAATAATGGTGTTTAAAAATGTAGAATTAAGTATTTTATACTTTCTTTAATACAGTCAAGAGTATTTAAACTTGAATTTTTTTCCATGGATATTAAGAAGTGTAGCATTAAAATTTTTTGACTTTTCATTATCTTTTTATTTAAAAAACATATTTTGTCTCCTGTAATTTTTCTGTATTGAGGTCTCTAAAGGGTTTAAAGTTTGTTCAGATGTTGTCGTGGCAGTGAAAAAGACACTGTTAACAAAATAAAATTTTTTCTATGATAAAAAGACAAGCTGATCTCTGTCTTTCTGAATAGCCCTTTAATTTTGTGTTTGTTAAACAGTATTTTATTTGGGGGTATTTTTCTTCAGTGATTAAACTTTACCTACTTTGAAATGAAACAGTAAAAGGATTTCGTGGGACCAAAATATGCAATAGCTGTTTCTTACATTCTAGCCTATAGTTGCATGCTAAAATAAATCATAGGAAAATAATTTCACTTCCATGAAAGGTTTTTTGATTAGTCACATTCCCTAACTTCGCTTTACAGTTTTGTGTAGTTTTTTGCTCCATACATGATAGTTACTTGTATGTATTACCATTTAGTATTTACAGAAGTATTCATATTTGTATAGTCAGGCCATAATCATCTCATCTTACATTACTCATTCATGCAATAATAGTTTCCTGGTATTAGTGATAAGATTGGTAAGATAACAGAAAAGAAATAAAGGTAAAAGCAGAAATTAATGAATAAGAAAATAAAATAAATCCTGCTACAAAACATTAAACAAGATGAGTTCTTCAACTCATTCTATGAAACTAGCATAACTGATATCAAAACTGAAAATAGCATTAAATCAAGCCATTCTCACTTCTGTACATAAGTAAACTCTCTAGAAGGTAACAGCAGTCTGAGCACTGCAGTGGAATAAAATGCAAACCCTAGAAAAGACCAGGCAGCTCTATCCACACAGATGCAGTGCTTTCAAGATCAAGTGAAAAACGTTTTATCAGACTGTGTACACAGAGAAGCATATTCTTAGGGTATATAAGAGGTGTAAGTGATGGTCTTTGGGGAGGTAAATGATACTTTACTTTCACTGCCCTTAGGTACTTTTTGAGTTTTTTTGGTATTTGCATATATCACTTGTCAGAAAAAAATCTAGTAACAAGGAAATGCGTCACAAACACTTACCAAAAAGTGTATACAGTAAGGGGACAGCCTGGTGGTGCAGTGGTTAAGTTCACACCATTTCGCTTCGGCGACCCAGGGTTCGCCACGTACAGACCTAGCACTGCTTGTCAAGCCATGCTGAGGCGACCTCCCACATATGAAGTACAGGATGGGCACGGATGTTAGCTCAGGGCCAGTCTTCCTCAGCAAAAAGAGGAGGATTGGTGGTAGATGTTAACTCAGGGCTAATCTTCAAAAAGAAAAAATTGTATACAATAAGAATTTTGTAATAAAAGTTATATGAACGTATGCATTAAAATAGGTGAAAAAATACATTAATATGGGTTATAAACATTTTCAGTGGAGGTGGGCTAGATTAACAGCTAGGAGACATTCTTCCTTCTTAAAATGCAGAATTAAATATAAGAAGTGTTAAGTACAGGGTCTCTTTGAGCTGATAAAAATGTTCTGGAATTACAAAGTGGTGATGATTACACCACTTTTTGAATATACCAAAAACCACTGAATTGTACACTTTAAATGGATGAATTGTACGTGATTACATCTCAATAGAGCTGTTAATTTAAAAGTCTCCTTAAAAGCAGAAGAGTTGGCAGGACAGTAAGGAACCAGTAGTCCCAAGTCCAAGAGAGTGAAGCAGAGCACAGGCAACTCCAAACCCCTTTGGGACGTGAGGACATTCATTCAATGACCCTATTCTGCTAGGCCAGTGGGGATGGGGGTGCAGGCCAGTGGGGCACAGGGCATCTTCCCAGGCTAAACTAAATATTCAGACTGACAATGCCACCAACCGCCATGTTTCAGCATCAGATTCACTCGAGAGTATGAGACAGGAAACTCAGCTTGCCAGCAAGGCACTGTCTGGTGTTCATGGGAGTAGCCCTCGCAGAAGTCCATATATTGGACCTAGTCTCATTGGCGCTCCCACGTGACAGTTCAGTAGCAAAAGGATATAGTCATCCCTCGCTATCCGCCAGGTATTGGTTCCCAGGACTGCCGCAAATACCAAAATCCACAGTGCTCAAGTCCCTTAGTTGGCCCTCCCTATCCATGGGTTCCACATGGGTGGATTCAACCAGCGTCAGATCATAAACACCATACAGAGGGCCAACTGTGGGCCCATCTTGGTGGATATGAGGTCCACCCTGGCTTGGAAGCTCCATGGCCCACGGGAGCCTGTATCTCTTATAATAACTTCGTAGGCATAGATTCCTATATCAAAAAACTGGATTTTGACTTTGGTGACAAAACATCAAGGAGCAAGGTCCACTCCAGGTAAAGAATTTAAATAAGACCCTCCTCACATTAAATTAAGACCCCAAAGGGCTAACACCTTAAGGTGAGGTAAACCAAAAGTAAACTCACTTCCAGCTTTCTGCAAGCAAAGTGGCCCTGGCAATTTGAAGACTAGGAGTCAAACTGAAAAGTGACAAGTAACATTGAGAATTGCAGCCCCAGGTTATGCAGATGTGAAGCCCAGGTTCACATTGCCTAGGTGGTCCAAGAGGCCTCCAGAAATAATCTTGATGTGAGGGTTCACTAACTGCTGAGCTCCCCCAGAAGCCTGGTAAATGCAAACATCATCTCTGGAGTAAGGCACCTTCACTCGGCAAATAAGACTCTCCACAAATAGTCCTTCAAGAACAAAGAACGGTATCAATAAAAAGAATAAATACATACCTATGCACCACAGATGAGAACCAGAAGAAACGACAGAGCAGCAGAAGTAAACGAGAAATACTGAAATTATCAAATGATAAAATAACTATGCTTACTACAATTGAATAGACAAAGCGCAAGCTTCAAAATACCTACCAGAAACAGGGAACTATAAAAAATAACACAGCAGATGAGACTAAGAGCCAAAGAAAGCTTCTGGAAAATAAATATATACAATAATAAAAAATTTCCAACTCAATGACCACATATGAAACCACAAAAGTGGAATGATGATAATGTTGAAGCCAGGTGATACATACATGAGAATATAATATTGTCCTCTCTACTTCTGTGTATATTTGAATATTTTCATAATAAAAATAATTTTAAGCACAAGTTTACCAAAAGATTAGACATAACTGAACACTGAATAAGTGAACTAAAAGATAAGTCAGAATCTAGATTGCAGCACAGGAAGACAAAAAAGACATAAAATACAAGAGATAATAGAAAATTCAGTTGGAAGTTTTAATACACATTTAACTGGAGTCCCAGAGATGAGAAAGAAATCAAGGCCAGGACAATATTTAAAGAGATCATGGCTGAGAATTTTCCAGAACTGATGAAAAACATCCACAGAATCAAGCTGAATAAATCTCATGCAGGATACATATACGCACATCACAATGAAATTCCAGAATACCAAAGACAAAAATCTTAAAGTCAACCAGAAAAAAAATTAGGCTAACAATGCTATCTCCCTAATGACATTTTTCATGAAAATAGAATTCTAAAATTTATATGGAACAACAAAAGACCCTGAATAGCCAAAACAATCCTGAGAAAAAAGGACAAAGCTGGAGGCATCACAATCCCTAACTTCAAAATATACTACAAAGCTACAGTAATCAAAACAGCATGGTACTGGTACAAAAACAAACACACAGATCAATGGAACAGAATTGAGAGCCAAGAAATAAATCCACACATCTACGGGCAGCTGATCTTCGACAAAGGAGCTGAGAACATACAGTGGAGAAAGAAACGTCTCTTCAATAAATGGTGTTGGGAAAACTGGAGAGCCACATGCAAAAGTATAAAAGTAGACTATTATCTTACACCATGCACAAAAATTAACCAAAATGGATTCAAGACATGAATGTAAGCCCTGAAAACATAAAACTCCTAGAAGAAAACTGAGGCAGTATGCTCTTCGACATTGGTCTTAGCAGCATCTTTTTGAATATCATATCTACTTGCCAAGGGAAATAAAAGAAAAGTAAACAAATGGAACTACATCCAACCAAAAATCTTCTGCACAACAAAGGAAACCAGCAACAAAATGAAAAGACAACCTACCAACCAGGAGAAGATATTTGCAAATCATATACCTGACAAGAGGTTAATTTCCAAAATATATAAAGAACTTGTACAATTTAACAACAAAAAAAACAAACAACCTGATCAAAAAATGGGCAAAGGATCTGAACAAACAGTTTTCCAAAGAAGATACACAGATGGCCAACAGGCACATGAAAATATGTTCAACATCCACCAATTATTAGGGAAATGCAAACCAAAACCACAATGAGATATCACCTAATGCTCATTAGAATGGCTATTATTAAAAAGACAAGAAAGGGGCTGGCCCCGTGGCCGAGTGGTTAAGTTCGCGCGCTCCGCTGCAGGCGGCCCAGTGTTTTGTTGGTTCGAATCCTGGGCGCGGACATGGCACTGCTCATCAGACCACGCTGAGGCAGCGTCCCACATACCACAACTAGAAGGACCCACAACGAAGAATACACAACTATGTACCGGAGGGCTTTGGGGAGAAAAAGAAAAAATAAATAAATAAAATCTTAAAAAAAATAAAATAAAATAAAAAGACAAGAAATAACAAGTGTTGGAGAGGATGTAGAGAAAAAGGAACTCTCATGCACTGCTAGTTTGAATGTAAATTGGTGCATCTGCTATGGAAAACAGAATGGAGATTCCTCAAAAAATTAAAAATACAAACACCATATCATCCAGCTATTCTACTTATGGATATTTATACAAAGAACAGGAAAATGCTAATTCAAAAAGATATACGCCCGCCCCCACCCAGTGTTCACTGCAACATTATCAATAGTCATTAATGAACATTAATGTCAATGTCAATCAACATTAACAATAGTCAAGACTTAGAAGCAACCTAAGTGCCCATCAACAGATGAATGGATAAAGAAGATTTGGAATGTGTGTATGTATGTACGTACACACACACACACACACACACACACACACACACACACACACACAGGAACACTACTCAGCCATAAAAAAAGACAAAATCTTGCCATTTGTGACAACATGGATGGACCTTGAGGGTATTAGGCTAAGCAAAGTAAGTCAGATAGAGAAAGACAATTACCATATGACTTCACTCATATGCGGAATATAAAAAACAAACAGATACAGAGAACAGGTTAGTGGTTTCCAGAGGGGAAAGGGGTAGGGGAAAGGCAAAATAGGTAAAGGGGCACATGTGTACAGTGACGGATGGCAACTAGACTTTTGGTGGTGAACATGATGCTGTCTATACAGAAGTGAAAATATAATGATGTACTCCTGAAATTTATATAATGTTATAAACCAATGTGACCTCAATAAAAAGATAGTAATAATAATGCTATCTTTCTGGGTAGTGGAATCATAAGCAATTTTCACTTTCTTCTTTACACTTAAATGTGAGCATCTCATTTTGTTACAGTGGACACATATTACTTTTAAATTCTTTCATTTTTATCAAAGTCATATATGCATGTAGCATACAGAGGCAATGGTTCTACAAGGCCTTCTTTTAAACAGTAGTCCCCAACCCTTCTACCCTTCATTTTCCATCACTAAGATACAACCATTTCATCTTCCAGCCATTTCTAAATTACATGCTTATATTGCATTTTCTTGGTTTTTCCAATTTGAT